CAGGAAGCTACAGCCTACAATGAGGAGAAAAATCAATCGTTTGGACTGATCCAGAACTGACATCGATTGTAGAATTAACAGACAAGGTCACTGAAACAGTTGTTAGGCTATGTAATGAACAGAGATAATACGCTATTTGTCTGATGTTTAAAAAATTCTCTTCACGGGATTAACAGCAATTTAGATATTTGCAGATGAATAGTAAACTTAACAAATAATAAACTAAAGATATAGCAATAAAATTATCCAGAGTGAAATACACAGAGAAGGGGAAAATAATGCCCCTCCAAAAAACAAACAGAATATTAGGATGCTGTGAGCCAACCTCAAATGGCCTGATACAAGGGCATGTGGAGTCCCTTACAGGAGAAAAGAGAAGGGGATATTTTTTAAATACTTGAAAAAATAATGGATGAAAATTTTCCAAATTTGATGAACACTGTAAACTCATAGACTCCTGAAAACTCAGCAAGCCTCAATAACTAAAATCTTGAAGAAAACTGTACCAAGACACAACATGATCACATTGCTTAAAGCCGGTGATAAAGAGGAAAAAGACACAGGAAAAGGATGAGGATGCATCAGATTTCTTATCAGAAACAGTGCAGATGAGAACAGTGGGGCACTAACTTTAAAACTTTCTTACAGAAAGGAAAAAAAAAAAAACTTGACCTAGAACTCTATACCCAACAAACGTATATTTCAAAAACCAAAGTGAAATAAAGATCTTTTCAGACACATCTGAAGATATGAACTCACAGGAAATGTTAAAGGAAATCCTTCAGGTAGAAGGAAATATGAACATAATACACCAGAGAATGAAGAGCAAGGGAAATGGGAGCTATCGAGTAATATTTTTCTTACCACTTAAATCTCTTTGAAAGATAATTGACTGCCCTGCAGTGTTCCCAGTGGCATTCTTCACAGTAGTTAAAGGTGGAAACAACCCGAATGTCCATTGGTAGGTGGACAGCGAACATGTGTAGCCTTACAATGGAATACTATTCAGCCATAAAAAGGAATGAAATACGTGCTACAACCTTGACGATACTATCTATGTAGTAAGACACAGAAGGACAAATATCGTGTGATTCCATTTATATGAAATACCGAGAATAGTCAAATTAATAGAAACAGAAAGTAGAATACTGATTACCAGGGGCTGGGGTCAGGGAGCAGCAGGGAATTATTGTTTAGTGGGTGTTAGTGTTCAAATAAATGTTCTAAGAAAAAAGATACCAACTCAATATAATAAAGACTTTTTAACAAAATAGAGAGCAGCTCATTTTAAACTTAGAATGAAATAAATGACACCAAGGAAAGCTTGCTGGCAGTGTCTTGGGGTGGTCACCATAATGTAGAGTCTAATTCTGAACTCCTAATCCAGTAACTCTATTTTGCACATATACCTAGAGTCGATCAATCAAGAAAGGACTTTTGCTAACCAGAGTCACACACCCACACAAAACAGTGTAAGCCATGATGCCAGTTTTTGAATTTGACAAAGGAACGTACCATTGTGGTGAATTCTCACGTCTGCTCTCTGAGGTGCTACCTGGGGAGTCAAATTAGTCATCTGAACAATTGATCAAAGAGAGCTGGACGGGTTTGAGAATCATGTCGTCTGCTATGGAAAAGCCTGGCATCTCTGCTTCTGTTTTCCAGGGATAACAATTTGATGTCTGACAGCATGGCTCTCCCTGGGGTAAAAACTAGATAAAAACTGAAAAAATCTTAGTCGTGCTTCTGTATTTCTAAGTTCAATGCAAAATAATGCAGTAGGTTTCTTCACACTACAGCTTAGGTAATACCGTCTTTAAAAATGTTTCAATCCCCAAGGGTGTACCAAGGTAAACTTGATACGATTTCAGTAAAGCAAAACAAATTAACAAAACCCTCTTCTTTATGCTTTGGTTGTTTTTGAAGCAGCCACTTGCCACTGGCTACATTTATAAAACGTTCTCTGAGGTGGGAGACTTGGCCCATAGTTACCCTCACGCTGTGTTTTCTCCTGGTCTGGCTCCAGGGAGACTTGCCCTCTGGCCGGCTGTGGAGCTGACAAAACCCACAGACAGCCCCCAGACGTGTCCAGGCAGGAGCGCCCTGGCAGGGATTGCTCCCTGGTTGAGGGCGGTAGCTTGGGTAAGAGAAGGAGTGAGATGAGATCTCAGCTAACACTGAGTCTCTGATTTAGTTTTTCTATGACTGTGAATTTAAGCGGAAGGAAAATGGGGTTCCTGTGCCACAGCTGCTTTCATTAAGTTTGAATTTACAAATTCACGTACGTATGTAAAACATTTTCCTTTGCCATTTCGCTTTGGCTAAGTTATGCAACTCAAAGCTTTTCCTTTGTTACATCATGTCCTTCCCAGTCGCTTGATTCATGCTTTCAAGATGAGGTGGGTTGCTAAACCTCAAGGTGAAGATGTACGACCTGTTCTCTTTAGAAATTACATTTATACATTAAAAAGGATGTAACATTTCTACACAGGGCTTCAATGTAATTGCCGCTTTGAGGGGTTTGTTTGTGGGTTTCTAGACGAACTACTCGTGGGCGTATTGTCAGAAGGGCCGTGCTCTCCACCTTAGCCCCATGGCCTGTTTTGTGTTGAATCTTGTGTGACCTCATGAAATTACGCAGCAAGTTTTTCTCTTCCACATTCTTTTGCAACACACTCATACGTCTCTCAGTCTGATTTCACAAAAGATGAGAGTCCTGCTTTTATGTATGATTCGGATTCCTACTTTTGTGTATGATTCAGATTCCATCTTAGATGTTCTCTGTTTTCCATACTCTACGGTGGATACAAACGAAGAGTGTTCTCCAAGGGGGTTTTCACAAACCAGTGTCCTGTTGATTATTAGGGTTTTTTTCCCCCAAGGGTACCATAAATAAATGTATTTGGGAAAGGCTAGGTTCAGCAGTTAAACATGCTCTTGAAGTGCAGAATTCTATAAGCCTTTAATGTATCCGTGGGCTCTGAACGCCGCAGGGGTGGCTGTGATTTGCAGCGTTTCTCAAACCAGCCTGGCCTGGAACCCTGTCTTTCACCAAGCACCGTGTGAGCCAGGGGTTGTGCAAAACAACCTAGAAAAACGCTGACGGAGGAGCTCCACAGCCACCTTGTTTCAGGTCCTCTGACAAGTGCCAGTTCTCTTTTATGGCAAAAACCGCTGCCATGTCAAGTAAACAGTTACTACCAAGAGCAGTTATTACAAACACCGTTTCTGTCGAGTTGAAGGCTGGAAAATCTGCTTTGGTTTATGAAGGACATGTTTAGAGGATTGACTGATTTCTAAAACTTTAAGGCAAAAGGGAGGAGACAATAAAAAGCAAACT